CTGCATCCCACACGGCGGCCAGGCAGGCAGGAAGGTTTTTGGATGAATGAGAGTAAAAAAACTTAACACCTTCCCCCCTCAGACGGGGAAGAAAATCACAGTGCTAAAAAAGTGCGAGGGAGAAATAACTTAGGAAGCACAAATAAACTATCTCTGGATAGATTTCTCAAGTTTTAAAAATTTAGTTCATATATAACACATTTGCATAAAATACTAAAATGATACATAAAAATATAGGAAAAATAAGGTATTAAGTCAAACAGACTATAGAACTTGACCCACAAGGATGTCTGAATCGCACAGGGCGTGCTGGCCTCCCTGTGACGGGCCGGTGTTCACACGGCCGGGTGCCCTCCTGTCTAGGTCCTGTGCTAGGGCTTCCTGTGTTCGGAAAAGTGCCCACTCTTCAGGGGCTGTCACGACCCACCCAGACTTCATCACCTGCAGAAAACACGGCACAAGGAACCCCTGCTCACACTGTACCCGCTCCCTAAACGGCAGCACAGTTCCGTTTTCACGTCCTTGTCCCACTGGGGACTCGCTAGGAACAAGGCCGATGACTCGGTCATCTCTGTACCCAGTGCTCAGCGCAAAGTGGTTAGAAACCAAGGGCTGAGTTAATTTGACAGAAATGACTACTTCTTTTTTTTTTTTTTAAGAATTTTTTTTTAACTTTATTTATTAATTTTAATTTGAACAGAGAAAGAGAGAGAGAAAGAGAGGGAAAATGAGAAAGCAAGCTGCCAGGTCCTGGACTCGAACCACCTGCTGGCCTCGGAAATGATCATTTCTAATTTCAAGTAAAAGAAAATGAGGGTGCAGGCCGTGGCCCAGTGGTAAGGGAGCCAGATCCCACATGGCTGACCACGAATTGAATCCTGCCCGGAGGCCTGAGAAACACACGGGCCGTGTATGCCCAAATCCTGATGGGGTGGGGGAGAAGAGTGTGTCATGTGACCACACCCACAAGGGGTGCTTTCTCTCTGTCTCTCTCCGCCTAGCTGTGATGTGCCCTCTGGCAATTTGAAAAAAGATGAATAAAATACTGACACAATATAAACCCTGAGTCCTTGGTACCCGCACACGCGCTCCACAGATCCTGCCATGCATCGTCTTACCGTGAGGTCGCGGAAGGGGTGCAGCAGCAGGCCCAGGGGAAGCTTAGCTTTGTTCAGCAGAGCCTGTGTTTGTGGGATGTTTGTCAAAGTGCACCGAAACGAACTGCAAAAACACAAGAGATACAGAGCACGTCAGCTACCAGACAGACTCCGGGGAAGCAGGAAGGGTAGGGCCTCCAGGAGTTAGCGAACGTTTGGGCACATGCGATCGCAGGGAGGCCTGACTATGCAGGTCAACAGCCCTGAATTACGGACGTGGCATCTTCATGGAAGCAGGGACCAGCTGTTCAGGAGAAACCAGGCACCCCGTGGTGACCGGCCTGCAGGATGTGAAGGAGCAGGAGCACAGCAGAGGCACTCGCCTGCCCAACCTGCTGCCCCTGCTCCAGGGCCCCCCATCCCACCATGGGACTCATCCAAGTTCCTGCTTCCTGTGAACCAGCACCCCACACCGCCCCCAAGATGAGCTCCTTCTCTGTGCCGATGCGTTTGTGCTCCTGCAACCCAGCAGCCAGCTCACACCAGCGGGGTGAGGCCCGGCCCGGTCTCGACCTGACCTTGGATGGCTTTGTCCCGGCCACCTGGTCGGCTCTAGTGTGCAATGAGAGCTCACGACCCACACAGTGGGAGGGTCTAGTGTGCAATGGGAGCTCGCGACCTGCACAGTGGGAGGGTCTAGTGTGCAATGAGAGCTCACAACCTGCAGAGTGGGAGGGAAATGGCCACTCCCAAGAAGGTGCAAGGTGTAGCCCGCCTATAGGCGGCGGGGTGAGAAGTCAGGGAGGAGTTCCGGGCCACTGGCCAGGGGACACAGAGCCCATGGACACGCCACGCCAGGCTCGGGGTTCCAACTCGCAAGCTCGTAGGCGTGTAGCTCTCCCATCCGCTGGCACAGCCCCGGGAACAGCAGCAGCTGCCCTGGCGTACGCGCAGTGCCGTGGCACCACATGGACTACGCCGACAGCTCGGGACGCCTTCCCTGGCAGGACCCGGCCACTTCGTTTAGCCTGTGACGGTCCCCGGCACAAGGAAGCAGTGCCTTGCACTCAACTCCAAAGCCATTTATTGAATTAGCAATTTATCTTGGTTTGTAGGCACTACTTTAATATTATTCCTGTGTTAAATCAGCAACCTGAAGGCCTTCAGAAGTTAGCAACCTGCACAAGCTCTCATGGCTACGCTTTACTGGAGCCGGGTGACCTTGGAGCTCTGACCATGAAGCCTGGACTCCTAGTTAGCCTCTGTCGCTCTGAAAACTGGGTGGGCACCCCCCGTGTACACCCATGGGGTCTCATGCGCAGACACTGCCTGCCTGTGCACAGGGACACCGAGCCCCTCGCACGAGGCGGCCGTGCCCCACGGTGCACCATCTGCCGGCAGCTCACGCCCGAGGCCGAGGATGGGCAGCGTTCAGCCTCTGATCCAGATGCCTTTGTGCCTTTGCTCTCTGGCACCGCCATAGCAGGGGTGGGGTGTTGACAACAGACGTGGGGGAAGAGGGGAACACTCACGACAGTGCCCCTGCTGCCTACACTGAAACTCTGTGAAAGATGTTGGTGGGAGAGGGGAGCGTGCGTAGTTTTAGAAAGCGGGAACAGCATGCCTTGAGCAGTGAACCCTAGCTCTACAGAGGGTGCTAATTCTACCGTGCGGAGGTGGCAGCCTGGTCTTCGTCGGAGTTCGCTTTAGGAGGAGGAAAGAGTTCAGGCACAGGAGGATGTCTTCTAAAAGACATCGAGGGGGGCTAGCAGGTGGCATGGTGGTTATGGTACTGGAATCCCATGTGACTGACCACGGTTCAAGTCCTGGACCTGGTGGAGTGCTTTCTTACCTTCCCTCTCTCTGGTGAGCACATGTGCCCTATGGCAAATAATAATAATAAGTAAAATTAAAATGAATAATTTTTAGGAAAAAAATAAGACCTTGAGGTCCAGAGGAGCAGCCTGCTCCTAGCAGACAGGAGTGCTGAGCACACGTGGGAAGGGATGGACATGACATTGGCTGAGCAGCATGGTGAGGTGGGAAGCCATGGCCATGCCGAAGGACCTGGGCCACGTGGACACCAGCTCAGCTTCTCTGTGAGACGCAGAGGTCCTCGGTAAAGACCCCCAAATCCAAATGAGGCTGCATCAATGAGCTTGGGCTCGGAGCCATGACATTCCAGGCCGAGTGGGAAAGAAAATTCAGAGACTCGAGTTTTCTAAACCTGCTCAGGGTCACGTAGGTGAGGTCTGCACCCTTTCAGACGAAGCCTGAGAAGGGACAGAACTTTAAAGATTCCACCTTATTTAAAAGATACGTGAAAGATAAGGAAAAAGAGTTAAGAAACAAAAATACATTTGCGTTCCCAAGACCCTTTCTCCAAAGAGAAGTCATTTCTTCTACTTGTGTAATTTTACTGTATTTTTAATTGGCAGGTAGTTACTGCTTAAGCAGAGCGTACAGGGTGGCTTTTGAGACCTGAGCGTCGGAGTAATGATCAGATCGGGGTGACCGGCACGTCCACCCCGGCAGTCACCACTGTGTGGGAAACCCTCTCTTCTGCCTATCGAAACCGACAGCAAACCCGGTAACTCTACCCGGTCTACTGCGCCCCTCTCAGGCCCAACGGCAATTCTGAACCCATTCCTCCCCAGACAGAAATCACTTCTGGGCCGGCGATGACGGGGTGTGGGACTGGCCTGGGACTGTGACAGGCGCAGCGGACGACCCACCGCCTCCACAGCATGACTCCTACACCGCCACCTGGAAAAGCCCACGTGAGCAAAACTTCCAAGCAGGGAACTAACCGCACACCGCCTTTCCTGGCCCCCAAAGCCATACGATGTTCCCAGCAAATCACTTAAGAACAGTTGTGAAATAAGCAGGTACCTACTCTGGGCTACAGTTCAGTTTTCTGAGGTCCGAATTCAAGTTAGGGACGGGAGCCCACAGCGGGGTGGTCGGTAGAATGTTTCTCTCCTGGGTGAGGTTCACGGGTCTCAGGCTCTCCGGCGGCGGGCAACTCTGTAGGCTCAGTCCTCCCAGGCCGGAGGACAGCTGGCTCACACCGGGGTTCTGCTGGAGGGACAAGCCAGAACAGGTAAGGACGACGGGGCGGGGCTGCACGGACCTCCTGGCAATGTGCAGGGGGCGGCAAGAAAGTGAGCTCGGGCTTGGTCCAAGTCAGATTCTTGGGACCAGCAGTTCGTGTAATGGCTATGTCATTAAACTCTCATGTAGCTGACTGTGGTTTGAGTCCCGGACCCGGTGGCTTAAACTCACGCCGGGTGCATGTGCGTGTGTGCCCAAGATCCCGAGTGGAGAATGGAGGAGAAGGGACTGCGGCGTGGCTATCCCCCTGGGGGGTGATTTCTCACTTTCTGTCTCTCTGTCTTTCTGGCGAGCGCACACGCCCTATAGCAAAAACCTCTCAAAAAAAAAAAAAGTCAGATTCTTAGTGGGGCAGTCAATTAACGCACACTTTAGAGAGTGAAAGCGAGAACACGGGATAAACCCAAGTACCGTTATTAGTGAGGTTATGTCTCCGGACACAATTCTAGCAATGCTGCTTCCCAACATCGAGGTGGTTTCTCTGGGTGTAGTCCAAGCTGCAGGGTAAGGCAAGGGCTAAGCTGTCCTTGGGCTTTTAATGACCAACTCTCAGAATACTGAGTTGATACTACAAAATGTTCAGTGGTAGTCAATGAATTTTGCTTTGCTTACTACCTGTCCGCTAAATTTATAGTATTATGAAATTATGGCTTATTAAGTCAAAATGATTTAATGAATGGCGGGCATTGTGCTTGGTGTTTAACTCACCCATCGCTGGCCAGTGTGAGCCCTGTCAACTGTCCCGGTAGGAACCCCTAGCCTTTGTTAGCGTGCCTTTTGGCTTAACATTTTGTATTCTTTCTCCTTTGATTTAAAATGAGGCATTTATCCAAAAGGAGTGTCGTTTCCTTTCATGCAGGGTGGCATCCGGAAGCCGTAACCCAGTGGTCAGGGTACTCGCGGCTGGTGTGCTGGGCTCACTCCAGCCTCTGGCAGGAGGCAGGCAGGAAACGCACTTGTTTAGACAGAAGGGAGAAATAATGAGCTCACCTACCTGCGAACACTGCTGGAATCCGGAGTAGCCGGGGCCGCGGGGCGGGGCGCCAGTGCCGAGCGGGGCGTTCTGGTACCCGGGCTGTAGGCTCGGATAGCCATAGCCGAAAGGCTTGGCCACCTTGGAGGGCTGAGGGGCGGCAGGTGCTGGGGCGGGGGCCGGGGCAGTCTCTGCCTGGGGGGCAGGATCGGGAGCCGGGCTGCTCGCGGAGGAGGAGAGCATGTCTGAGGAAGGGGAAAGGAGGTGTCAGTGCCTAGGGGACCGGGACCGGACCAGCACGGCCACACACAGCTTCTCCTCTCCTCCCAAAGGCCTGACTAAGGGAATCGGCAGCGCAGAGCGGGGAGGGCAGGATGCCCCGCACACCCCAGCAGTAACGATGCTACTTGGCTCCTCTGGCTCTGCACATCAGTCTGCCTCTTGTTTTTGTACGAAAGTCTTTACAAAAAGCACGTTATACTTTGTGACAGAGGGGGCACGGGTGCCCCAGAGACCCACAGAGGGAGAAAGCATCCCCTGTGGGACTTGGACACACCACGCTCCCTTTTCTCTCCGCTGTCGGATTCGGAGTAGGCACATGCACCTGTCCAGCGTGTCTCAAGCTGCTGGGGCCAGAACTTGAAGCTGAGACTCACGCTGTGGCCAACCACGTGGCACCCAGCTCTGTTCCCAGCTCTCTAACTGCGGGGCCACGAGCTGTGCCCTGATTTTGTGCCCTTCGCCAGAGAATAACTCAGTTGTCAGTTCTCTCGGATAGGACTTCACAGGCGGGTACACGTCAGGTGGGAATTACATAAATATTTAACTAGCACAGTCTTTTTTGTTCTTGTTTTCTTTTTGTTTTTTAGTTCTCTCAGCAGGATGAGCCAAAGGAGTGGGAAACAGCAGAGATGGAGAGGGTGTGAGTGGGTCTTTCTCTGGCCGCGAAGCAGCCGAATCCCAGGTGGCCGACCACAGTACGAGTCCAGACCCAGCGGCTTGAGCAACACATCACGGATGTGCCCAGAACACCAAAAAGGAGGGAGGAGAGACAGGGCATATGGGAGGTGCTTTCTCCTCTCCCTCGTGGTTGGAGCACGTGTGCCTTCTAGCAAAACAAAAATCAAAAACTATGATAAAAATACTAAGCGTCCCTCGGCCTCCTAGACCACTCACTGGTCGGGTGGTCAGGGGCGACCCGGGGGGCCGTTACCTGGGTAGCCGCCCCCCTCCAGGGCGTCGTAGCTGTTGGGCACAGGCGAGGCGCTGCTCGTGGTGGAGGAACTGTCCACGCCTGCAGGGAGAGCAGACGAGAGCCTCAGCTGAAGGACGGGGCTCGAGCAGTTCTCAGGGAAACGGTTTTTGCTGAACTACGGAAATTCCTAAATCTAGTAAAAATGTAAAATGACTAACGTCTAAAGACATTTTAAAAACCATATGTCGATTCCCATTAAGAATAAGGCATACGAGGGGGAAGGCATGAAACTGGTGACATAAAATTTAGTTAAGCAAATGTGAGGTTCCATGTGGTGCTCCTCAAAGATGATAATACACATAATAAATTATAAAAAGAGGTAACTTACAATACAAAAAATGTACGTAAGGCATCTTAAAGCACAGACTTCAAACTATTGAAAGTGGCCAAACACCCAAATACAAATTTCAGGTTGAGAGAAATATTAATGTAGTCACACCGTAAAGATCCCATCTATGAAGTCTCCAGTGTTAGGCAATGTTAAGACCATTACATCTGTACAACAGCACAGCGCTCCGCGGTCCCAGGAAGGGGAAGCCTGCGGCTCAGCTCGCACCCAGTGTGTCACTCAGCTGCCCTTTGCTGCGCCTGTCCATCCGTGGGGGGAGGTGACACAATCCCGCCATATTTACGAAGGTGATAGGCCTGGAAGGCACTCAAGTAAATGTGCATGTTAGAAAATACTATTTTTATTTTTCATTTCTATGAAAAACTTTTGTGCTCTAAAAATTACCATTAAGAAAGTAAAAGAGATAACCGGCAGAATGGGAAGAGATGTTTGCAAGTCCCATATCTGATCAGAGACTGCCACCCAGAACACACACACTCGGACAACTCAACTCTAAAAAGTC